AAGAAGAAGAAGAAGAAGAAGAAGAAGAAGAAGAAGAAGAAGAAGAAATAAATCTACTGAAAAAGAAAAACAAACTGAGCAGTAGAAAGCCAGATTTCAGAGACACATTTCCTGGAGGCTTTCTTACATGTATAGCCATCGTTACATAAGAAAAGTGCCTGTGTCCTTTACATATTCTCCCAGAAATCATTAGTTGTGCTCCCACCCCCCTCTGCCCCAGATAAGGTTTCTCTGTGTAAAAGTGCTGAAACTCACTCTGTAGACCAGGCTGGCCTCAAACTTAAGTGATCCACCTGCCTCTGCCTACCAAATGCTGGGATCAAAGGTAGGTGCCACCACTGCCTGGCTGAGTTGTGCATCTTAATTCCACCGAACACCCACTTCTGGCTACACAGAACCACCCAATTTGTATTCAGTAAAAGTGAGAATTTAAGGAAAGAAAACACACTATATCCTCCCACTATACTATCAGGAGTCAAACTGTGGCAGACAATCCACTTTCCTAGGGCATCCTATCAATCCCGAGAGTATCTTTTAAATACCTTGGGAGCAAGAAGAAACAAGAACTGCTAGATAGCTTTTCACCATTTCTAAATGTTTAGCAATATTTAGTTGGTAAATCCCACAAGCCTACACCACAATTCAGGAGACACTGAGGAATAGGAACGAACAGCACAGAGAGATGCAGCTGGAGGTGCAGCCCTAAACCACAGCCTCTCTCGCTTTCCTAACCTGTCTTCCCCACAGACTGTAGGGAGGAAATACCTGAAGCAAGAATGCTCTGAAGCCTGAGTTCTAAGAGAACCGCAGGGTACTCACTCCCGCATTACAGAGGGACGGTAGCACAGCCTGGCAACACTGCGCAGGAAAATCAACTGGAAGCACCACAGTTCGATGTCGGTGTCTCTTACCCTGGCATGTCTCACGGGTCGGCTTCTCAAACACTTCTTCTTGATCAAATCCTTTTTTAGACTCCTGTTCTTTGTATGATCGGTAGAAAACAGACCTAAAAACAAGAGTTCCAACAGGTGATTTCTACTTTCTTTTAGTAAGAGGGCTTAGATTACAGTAACGGTATTTGGCTTAACTGATATTTGGGAGACAATTTGAACCAAAAAGCAGGGATAAAAGTCACTATGTACTAGGGTCAAGGTTCAGTCCTAAATGGGATTTACATGGAGCATCTGACTTATAACTGTAAACACCTGCCATCGCAGGGGAGATCAGGAGGGACTCAGGTAACTGAGTCCAGCTCCCAGCGGCAGAGGTCCTGTCATAACAGGACTGAGCAATGCCCAGCCCAGGTCTGCTCAGGTATCACTGAGGCATTTTTATATGACGCCATAGATGTCCACGCTTTAGTTAGTGCTAGCCTATAAAATTACACAGGGAAAAAATTTTCTCTTCTAAATTCCCTGTGTTTCAAGGAACCTTCGTATGCTACATATTTAAGATGAATCTTTGCATCAGTAAAACAGAGAAAACTAGGAAGTCAAATGTGGTGGGGCACTTTGTAATCCCAATACTCAGAAGACAGAGGCAGAAGGATTGCCATGACATCAAAACCAGCCTGAACTACACAGTGAACAAATAACCACAACTGTATAGGGAACAAACACACACAAATATAAAGAAAATGCACCATAATTTTATCAGTTATTTTGGAATTCTAAGGTTTATTTTTATTTCTTCCTTAGATGTTTCTGCATTACCTAAATGCAAATATATATTTGCTTACAACAGAAAAACATTTAAAGTATCATATCTGAAAACCCAGAGACACAAGAACCACTGTCTGGAGCTGTGTGACACCAACCAGGTATTCTGCCTTTGGATTAGAACAGTCAAGCCCATTCTTTAAAAACTGTTTTAAAAAAATCTATTTTCACTATATCTGTGTTTCCACAAATTTTACCAAAAGCTGACCTGAAAAAGCCTCGATCCACAGCTGAACGATTCATGATAACCGAGTCTTCTTGATTATAGCCCGTGTATGAAGCAATAGCCACAATTGAGTTGATTCCTGCAGTACATGGAATAACACACATTAAGGGACCATCTGGGTGGCAGGGAAATCCATTTTCTATCATGGAAATTGCCGATGTCTATTCCTCCCTGAACCTCTGCTAGCGGAACTGTCACTCCCAGTGACTCCATCCTTACTATCAGTAGTTCTACATCTAAGTCGGTTTGTAGTCAGAGAGCTTCCCCGATCCTCACAGAAACTCTGAGCCTTACACAAAACAAGTATTATTCTCATGGGTCAAAGGTACATATGTACAACTCTGAAGTGTATAAGCAATGAACTCAAGCCTGAGACCCTTGCCTCCTAATTTCTAATTGCTGTTTTTGATTTTGTTTTGTTTTTGTTTTTCAAGACAGAGTGTCTCTGTAGCTTTGGAGCCTGTCCTGGCACTAGCTCTTGTAGACCAGGCTGGCCTTGAATTCCCAGAGATCTAGCTGCCTCTGCCTCCCAAGTGCTAGGATTAAAGACGTACGACACCACTGCCCAGCTCTAAATTCTAGTTTTAAATATGAAACTGGACTTCCCCTGCTGATCTCTCCTACTTCACCACAGAGTGCTGCGGTCTTTCCAGCCACAATTAACTCTTAGTACACTCAGGGGGAGGCTGAGGCAGGAGGATCACTGAAATTCAGGAATTTGAAAACAGTCTGTATAACATAAGACCATCTAGCCCATCTTTAAAGAGTATAGGGAAGGAGGAGAGGGGGAGAGGGAAGGACAGAATAGGGAGAGGAGAAGGAAGGGAACAGGAAAAAAGAAAGAAAGACAGCATATGGCTCAAAGGATAAAGGCCCTTGCTGTGGAAGCCTGACAACCCGAGTCTGATCCTGGAACCACAAAACCTATAATGTATACGCATGGCATGATGTGACACCCACGCACAGTATGATAAGTAATGAGACTGACTATTGTATAAAGGATTTGATTATTGTATAAAGGATTAAGAACCAGGAATGGGGGCCCATAGTTGTAGTCCCAGCACTCAGAAGGTATAAGTAGGAAAATCAGCCTATGCTACATAGTGAGCCAGCCTGGTCTACAAGAGACTTTTCTAGAAAAGAAAAGAAAAAGTGTTAACACAGCATAGTAAATTAAATAAGTATTAAAAAGTGTTGAAACTGAGGAAAACACCAGAACTCATAGGACCATGGACCAAAGAATTAATACTAAGGAAATGGCCACCCTACCAAGGGAAAGCTACACAGTCAGTGCCTTACTAACAAAATTCTCAGGGGCATTCTTCTCAGCCCCAGGAAAAGCAATCTCACCATTCATTTGAAAGCACAAAAGACCCCAAACAGACAGAGCAATCCAGAGCATAAGTACTGCCTGATTTCAAGGTATATTGCAGAGCCAAAGTGACAGAAGCAGCAAAAACTCAGACACACAGATCACTGGAAAAGGACAGAGCACACACAACTACAGCTATCTAATTGGGGGGGAGGGCAGGAATTCTGATTGTTTTTTAAGACAGGGTTTGCTTTGTAAACCTGACTAACCTGGTACTCAATCTGTAAACCAGGCTGGCCTCAAACTGCATGAGATCTGCATGTCTCTGCTTCCCAATTGTCTGACTAATGTCCAGCTAACAACCATCTGTAATCCCCGTACCAGGGACCTGACCCTTCTTCCTGTCTCTGTGGATACTGCATGAATGTGGTGCACAGACATACATGCAGACAAGACACATAAAGTAAGTAAATCTTCAAATGATTCAAGGACCTCAACACAAATTCCTCAAACTCAGAAACTGTTTCGGGGGAATATGAGGAGTACACTTATCACATCAGCACAAGGTGGCTTTCTGAATAGGATTCCGATCACTCAGGAAATATGGCCAATAATTCCCTGCAAAGGGAACTGCCAATCAAACGAAGAAATGAAGCAGCCTACAGAGAGAGGGACAATCTTTGCAGCTACACAGCCCACAGAGGATTAGACTCTAATCTAAAACAACTAAACGTCAAGAAAAGAAGCTAAGCAGAGTTCTTAAAGAAAGAAATATGGTAGCTAATAAACTTTTTTTTCCCAAGAAGGGTTTCTCTGTGTAGCTTTGGGTGTTCTGGAACTCGCTCTGTAGACCAGGCTGGCCTCGAACTCACAGAGATCCCCGTTTCTGCCTCTCGAGTGCTGGGATTACAGGTGTGCACCACCATTGCCCAGCTATGGTATGAAATCTTAATCTTCCCAAACACTTTCCCTTCAAGTGTCTTGAGCACAAAAAACCCTTTAAAACCATAGCAAACTGAACACACCTGCTGGCAGCTCTCTAAAGCGTAGATATTCCATAGAACGCGTAGTCACAAGTGGTTTCTGAGGATAATAGAGAACATGGGCCAAGGTGTCCATCCGAACATGGAAGTTGGTGATATAAACTCCCATAGCCTGCTTACCCATAGCAGACTGGTATGTGTTTCTAGGAGACTAATGATAGAAACAAACAAACAAAAAAAGACAATGAGAATTTAATAACAAAAAATAATAAATCAGAAAAATAATTGGTTAAAATGTTTCTGACTTTTTTTCTCAAAGACAGATAAGAACCACTGATGCCTCAACAGAACAAGAGCAAGCAACTGTGGCCTGAGTGGAAAATGCCCCTACAGTCTCAGGCACTCAACGGATCAACCCGGTTGATGGTGCTGTTTGGATTCAGCTTTGAGAGAAAGCACTGGGAACTGGCTCTGACATCTCAAAGCCACATGCTACGCCCGCATTGTGTTCTACTTCCCACTTTTGGATAAGGATGTGAGCTCTCAGGCTCCTGTTCCTCTGCCTCTGCCCCTCCAACAAGGACTACTTCGCTCTCTGGCAGCAGAACCCAATACAAACTCTTCCTTAAGCTGGCTTTGGTCATGGGATTTGAGCACAGGAACAGAAAAGCAGCTAATACACACATCAACTGCTGACTCTGTGGAAACTCACACCTTCAGCAAGATTTCACACGAATTCCTACACTTATTACTTCCCCAATTCCTTGGAAATCAGTACAGAAGCACGACCAACCTGGTTATGATCAGGAAAAGGAATAATAGATGCACAGACGCCAAGAATCATTGACGGATGAATCTCACAGTGGGTGTATGTGGAGCAGTAAGCTACTTCTTTCTCTTGTAAATCATCTGGAGTCATTGCAAGCATCACGGTTTCTTCTTCCAGGGTATCAATATATTCTACCACCCCACTGGCCACCAGATCCTGCCAGCTAAAAACAATTCACTCAATTTCCTGAAACACTTTAAAACAAAGTCTGCTAATTAAAAACTACTCCTACTTATGTTTGTACTAATACGAGAAAAATTCAAACAGAGATATATACTAGCGACAAAAAAAAAGAAAAAAAAAGACTACACAACACCACACACAGTTAAACTGTACCTATTTACTTTGTTTTAAAAACCTGTACTTGAGCAATGGGGTGGGACGTAAATAATACAGAGAATGAGGTCTGGTGAGTTATATATACACCCATTGCTCCTATGTGTTTGTGAAAAGGACATTATAAAAAAACTACGGCAAAACTGATAAGTATAAATTGAGAGTGTTCACTTTTTTAACTATACATGTTATTTTACAATATATAGACTTATAATACTATTAAAAGTAAAATCTGAAAGAAGGTTTACCTTTTTTATTATATTTCTTATTTATGAAAGAAATGGTGGCTTACTATCTATACTCCCTGTTATGGTAAAAATAAAACGGCATCGTTCCCTGAGTGGCTGCAGCAGGCAGCAGGCAGCAGGCAGCAGGCCATGAGGGGCAGCAGATCCCAGGAAGGATCTGCATATGGCGGGTCATAAACCTCAGTCCCACGAGGCACCGCAGCTGTGGCAGGTGAAAGACAGAGACAGATAGGCACACCATGCAGAGAAAGTGGGTATTTATCTAGTGGGTTATGGAGGGGAAGGGGAAAGGGAAGAAGGAAGAAGGAAGAAGAGCAGAGAGAGAGAGAGAGAGAGACAGACAGAGAGAGAGAGACAGAGAAAGAGACAGAGAGAGAGAGACAGAGAAAGAGACAGAGAGAGCGGAGGGGGAAGGGGAGAAGTGGGAAAAAGGGAGAGAGGCAGAAGCTGCCTTAGGGAGAGAAAGAGAGACAGAAAAGACTTGGGCTAGAAGCTGAAGATCAGCTTGCCTAGACAGGGGGAGGGAGTGGGCAGGGCTTGTCTCTTAAAGAGATAGGATAGATCACTACACTCCCCATACTCAGGAATTTGAGGCAGAACGATCAAAACTCACTATGTGTTCCAAGTCAGTCTGGCCTATATAGCAAGAATGTTCCCCGAAAAATATATTATTCACACGTACTATGTTCTGCATTACGCAAGCTATTTGTCATTAAATTTTAACGTATCAAAATGTTTTCACACTTCAACTCAAATCCAGTAAGTCCACTGTACAATTAATAACAAAAAATAAGAAAAATGAGCTGATGAAAGCTTCTCCTAGGGCACTAAAGTGTTGTGAACTGGACAGTGACAGTGGCAGCGCGACCCTGTGATTAAACTAAAAAGCACCCAATTGGGGAACTGGAGAGATGGCTCAGTGGTTAAGAGCATTGCTTGCTCTTCCAAAGGTCCTGAGTTCAACTCCCAGCAACCACATGGTGGCTCACAATTATCATTAATGAGGCCTGGTGCCCTCTTCAGGCATACATGTAGACAGAATATTTTATACATATAAATATATAAATATTAAAACAAACAAAAAAACACTCAATTTTCTACTTTTCATCTAAATTTTTTGAATGCACACATTTTTTCTCAGTTCACAAACTTACCTGTAGTTGTTATATTCTCTCTCTTTCAACTGGTCAATGTGTCTCTTCTTCAAAAGCAGCTTTTGTTTTTCCACAATCAGAAGTGGTCTACAGATACGGCCTGCATCTGTATAGATCCGAATCTCCCGTTCTCGAATATCTCTAATCATAGAAACCTACATATAAAAGACAAAACAATAGCATGAACTTTCACTTCTTTGTATGATTACAGCTCAGCAAAAATACAACTAGCTGGGTCCAGTGGGTTCACCTATTAAGAGTTGGAAAGGCTGCTCAGCAGTTAAGATCACTTGCTGCTATTGGAGAGGACTCAATGGTGACTGACAACCATCTGTCATTCCAGGTCTAAAGGATCTTACGCCCCATCTGGCCTCCACAGGCACCAAGCACACATGTGGAGCACATACATACATGAAAGCAAACATTCATACTTGTAAAATAAAAGAGCTGAGTGTAACAGGTCTTTCTTTTACATCACCAGCTCTTTCTTTGGTACCTACCATAAGTCTGATTTTCCCCAAGTTGGGCTGGCAAATCCTCCAGCCTCGGAGTCTTTCCCAGAGCTCCTATCTCTGCCCCGAAGTTCTAGATATCCTTTTCCTGCCTAGTCACTGGCCACTCAGTTCTTACTTAAAAATAATCAGAACGTGTCTTAGGCAGGTGAGGAAGGACACAGGCTCATCCTCACACGAAGATTATCTGTGGAGGCCAAAGGTCAGAGAGTTTGGGACTTGTTTCTAGTTCATTCTAGGTCCTACTTCAAAGAGTTCTGCTCTCTCAAGGCTATGGTCAACAGGTGTGGCTAGCTGCCCAGACCTGTGTTCCTGGAATGGGAAGTAGTTGGTTCCGGCCTAAAACAAAAGTCTAAGGAACCAACTAAATTCCAGTTCCCTTTATGAAAATAACTTGGGATTCCATCCAGTGGTTTTCCTACAGAGTGTTTGTTTGTTCTAGGGTGAGAGTCTAGGTTGTAGCCTGTGACTTTCAACTGGTATGTTAATGCAGTCTTTTGTTTTACTCCTACCTCTTGGGGTCAGGGGTATATTAAGCTGTTGGAAAATTAAACACAGGCGAATTTTCAGTATTCACTGAAAAAATCCCTCCCGATACTAGTCTGTATGTTTCTGCGTTTTATTATTTTCATTCGCATCTTCATATTCTCTATTATTTTCTAAATTCCCACACCTCCACTCTGGAGAAAGGTATTTTGTCGAGGCTGCCCCTCCCACCCCCGACAATTATCCCAACAGCTGAGAACACACACGGCTTCACAGCTCAGCGGTGGAGAGCTTGCCTCAGCATGTGTGAGGCCCTAGGTTTGCTCTTCAACACTATACACATGCAAAAGAAAAAATTTAATAACAAGTAAAATAAATAAAACTACTAAACTTGAGGTGAATCAAGTATCAAACAGAATAGATAATTCTTCATTACCACTGATAATCGATTGTTACATGAGGGCTGGCTTGTTGGGGTATCTGTCCCATCCGGTACCCCAGAGCTGGCAAGTCCCAAAGAAAATCACACACAAGACACCATAAGATTATAAACTGATTGGCCCATTAGGTCAAGCTTCTTATTAGCCCTTGTAATTTATATTAACCCATTATTCTGATCTATGTTAGCCATATGGCTTGGTACCTTTTCCAGTTGTCAGCTCACATGTTGCTTCTTTGGTGGTCTGGGCAGGAATGGCAGAGGGAGCTTCCTGCTTCCCAGAATATTCCTGTTCTCATAGCCCCGCCTCTACTTTCTGTCTGGTTGACCCACCTATACTTCCTGCCTGGCCAATCAGCATTATATTAAAATACATGATTGACAGAATACAGATAATTCTCCTGCAACAATCAATGTTTTAAAAAGTCATAATTATAAAACTCATGAGTGAAAAAAATACAACCCTAATTATTCAGCTGAATAAATCTGGAAGGGTACGCAAGTCAGTATAAAATGACATATATAAAAACTTCTTATTTTAGATTTGTTTACTTGTTTTTTGTTTGTTTTGTTCTAATTGTTATGATTCCAGCCACAAAGTGATGGCTGGCACTTCTGGGTTCCAGGGCCACACACGTGCAGACAAGCACTCAGCAAAATACTTAGCTACCCCAGCATACACGAGCTCAGTCATCTGCATATGATGTGCGTATGCGCTAGGCAGTCTTTAAACGCTGAACGCACCATCTTCAAGCTCTCTTTCTGCACACCGACATCCCCAGGCCTGTTCGCCTGTCTCTAATAAACTTGTAAGTGGGTTTGTTGCATGCGTCCAGTTCTCACCAGCGCCAGGTGATGTCACTTATACTAGAGAATGAGCCTCGGGCCTGGAATATGTAGGCAAATGCTCTATCAATGAGCTACAGTCTCAGCCCATACTTTAGTACTTTACTCACTGCATGTATTTCTAAGGAACTCTTTACACAGAGCAGGCTGGCCTTAAACAGAGATCCTCTGCCTCCAGAATACCGGAGTCAAAGGCAGGCACAGCACACCCAGCTATGACTGCTGTGTTAACCTTCCCTTCCCTTTTACTCCAAAGCCTGACTTCCTCAACTAGCAGGCAAAGGGCTAAAATACACCCAGAGAGTTTAAGTGTTTGAAATATGAGCATTCTGAATTGAAATGTGCTACAAGAATAAATTTTACAGACTCAAAAGATACTAATATATTTTAAAATACAAAACATTACACTAGCAATTTTATATTGTCAATGTTAGAAGGGCAACATTTTGGATATATCAGTCAAATAAAACATGGTGTTAAAACAATTTCATTTATTTCAGCTTTACTTTTTTAATGTAATTACTAAAAAATTTTAATTGTGTATGTGACTCACAAGGTATTTCTACTGGATGGTGCTAGTCTATAATCCTGAGAAAATATAAAATATTTTGAGAAAATATGCAATATAAGATGTATGAATTATTAATAGCACTATAGAAGTTGAAGTGCTTAAATGTAAAGAAGTCAATAAACAAATTATTTTCAGTAAGTTACCTAACTCTAACATAAAATCTTAGAAGTCAAAGCAGATGGTGGTGGCACCCACCTTTAATCCCAGCACTCAGAGGCAGGCAGATCTACAGGGCTAGTTCTAGGAGAGTCAGGGCTACACAGAGGAACCCTACCTAACAAAAACAAAAATCAGTGACTAGAATAAGTTAACTGCCCAAAAGTTAATTGAAAACTGGGTCATATTCCCCATAAAATTACTATTAAAAAAGTGAAAGCAAGGCCAATGTGGGGTAAAAGTGCTTACTCAAAGTCTAATGGCCTGGGTTCAGTGCCTAGAACTCACTTGACAGAACAAGAAAACGGACGTCACAGTCGTTCTCAGACTTCCATATGCACTCCAAGGTGCTACATCCACGGCTGTCACGCCAGTGTAGCAGAAATGCTGACTGGACGGGCAGGTGTTGCCGGAGGATTGGGATCTGTGCTTCTCAGAGCTGTGTTCCAGGCAGTCCCTTGGCAATCAGTTGTGGTATAATGCCACCTGAATCGCCATTTGTACTGACTCGACTTCGCTGTCCTTGGAGCCATATGTGTGTCCTTTTCCTTGTCTTTATGGTCTTTGTGATATTGCTAACAGATCAGACTATTCCAGGCAGTTGTGGATACAAACAAGACTGTTGAGAACATTTTGAGCTCTGCCCCACCATTCATTAAAGCCTTAAAAGAAGTAGCCAGTTCTGGGAATTGGCAGGGTCATCATTAGGATAATTTCTTGATGATGTGGAACAAAAGGAGTTAATTTTACTAGGAAAAACCTTAGAAACCTTCTACAGGAAAACAGTATTAGGCATTTACCTGGGAAAATACGTGCGATTTAACAGGAGGCCTATGCAGCAGCCTTCCTTATGGCCAGTAAATCTAGGCTAATTACAACATCTGCCCCTGAGAGTCGGGAAGGGAAGGGAAGGGAGTTGAGATTAATGGTATGAGATGAGTTTCAGACAAGTTTGAGATCATGTCTTTAAAATTTCCTAGCAGAAAGTTTTCCCAGGAAGATAGTAGCCTTCTTCTTTCCCACCTAGACACACAAGGTCACTTAACTAAACCCAGCCATCCACCTGGTGTAAGCTGATAAAGATGGCCTAACTTAAGAACAGTGGCCTCTCTAAAAACAAGAAAAAAGGCTGACTTTACAGAATGTGAGGGAGCAAAAGTCCTTGTACTCATGTCAAAGCATCTTTAAAGATTCTCTTTGTAAAACTGTTTTATGCTGTTCTTTTCTATTTTATGATCTGATGATGTATGCCTTTGCCAAGTTCTTTGTAAAAATATAAAAGTCTCGCACTGAAAAAGTAAAATTGCAGCAGCATGTCTCAAATACATTGAGAGTGGTCTGTCTGTCATTTTCCTCGCCGTATCCTGATTACTCCTGAGCCTTCATCCTGTTCCCCCACGGTCTGAGTGGCTCCCCTGAGCCGGTCCGTGGCACCAAGGTGTATATCCACATGTGTACATGCACATACACAAGACAGATAAATGACAGAGAGACAGAAAGACAGACGAGCTTTTCTTTAAAATAAAGATAATAATAATAAGCCTTTAAAATAAAGATAATAAAAGGCAGGAATGTCTTAACATCAGCCTAAAGTATCAGCCTATAAATAATGACAAGCACGAAGTCCAGTTCAGGGGAGTTGCCAAGAAGAGTTTTCACTGATCCTGTGTCATTGCTACAGATCTATACAGCAAACCCTTTTAGCTAGTTACAAACTCACTTCAAACTGGAGATATAGCTCAGTGGAAGAGCACTTGCTATATTAAGCAAAGCCATGGGTTCAATTGTCAATCAACACTGTAAAAAGAGAAAAAGGAAATTCTTACTTCAGATACAATGATGTCCATCTGACGCCGTAACTTCCTTAGAGTGTTCATGAGTTGTTCAGGATCTTTATGGATTCCAACCCAGCAGCCATTAACAAAAATCTTAGTTGCACTAAATAACAAAGCAAAAGCACTCTATATTTAGCAGTTCTGTACTAAGTACAGCTTAACAATTAGCAGCAGTTTAAAGAGAAAACTCATCTATACACACTCGGCAATAGCTGCAGGAGAAATTTCTTCTAAATTTTCCATGCTCCATTCTTCTAAGAATTCCAAAATTGGAGAAGGTTGAGATCCAACTGAAATGTAAGCCATCAGGGCTAAATTCTTCACCAGTCCTACAGCATGGCCCTAAGGAATAAGCCACATGACTATCAACATCAGTCTTAGATGCTATACAAACTGTTTTCTACAAACATTTTACTTTCAATTTGGCTTCAAGGTATACACTTAACTTTCTAAGAAAAAGACTACAAAAAAATCTTGATTTTTAAACCATGATGCATAATTAAATAAAAAATTTCTTGAGGTGATTATGACATTCAATTAATTTTTAAAAATGTTTCTTACCATGCATCAATTACACATTTCATTATGACATTTTCATACATAGAAAAGATCTACATTTTTAAAAGAACTTTATTTTTAATTCAGGGTTGGGGATGTGCACTTGAGTTTAAGGCCCACATGGCCAGAAGAGAATGTAGGATCACCTGGAGATTAAATAGTAGGCAGTTGTGAGCTGCCCGACATGGGTGCTGGGAACCAAATTCGAAACCTCTGCAAGAGCAGTGCGAGCTCTTACTCTCTCCAGCCACTACACGTGTATTCTCATCACATTCAATCCTGTTCCTCCTCTCTCGCCTTCCTCTCACTACTAATCCCCTCTTCTTTCCACGAGAAAATTACTTGCCTTTTTGTTCTGGGTGAGCCAATGAGTTCCATTGGGGCGGCTTACAGACCTGTGTGCCCATGTGCACTTTACCTGTGGCTACACCACTAAAGAAAATGTCACCCTGCCTCCATCAGCTACTGTCTTTCTTAGCAGTAGAAACTTTTAAACTGAGCATTAACCATAATGAATTACCTCTGGGGTCTCAGCAGGACACACCATTCCCCACAACGTATTATGCAACTGTCTTGGCTTCGCTAGCTTGCCATCTCTACCAATCGGAGAATTTAACCGACGCAGATGAGAAAGAGTAGACGCAAAAGTCAGGCGGTTCAATACCTAGAAAACAAAGGACCAAATCTTTAAAATCTGAGTAAACCCATAATCACATCGTCACAGTGAGGCAAAATTCTTTTTTTGTTTTTTTGAGACAGGGTTTCTCTGTGGATCTTTGAATTAGCTCTTGTAGACCAGGCTAACCTAGAACTCACAGAGATCCACCTACCTCTGCTTCCCAAGTGTTGGGGTTAAAGGCGTGTGCCACCACCACCCAGCAAGTTCTACTTTTATAATCCATTGAGTATCTTTGTCTTTAATCTTTTCTTGGATGATCTTGTTTACATCTATAAGTTAAATACTCTTAATTTTAGAAGTGATAGCATACATGTGACACACAATTCTAGGCACCCACATCACAGGGCTCAAGGCTACCTATGACCCTAGCACCAGAGAACCTGGCCCTATCTTCTGACCTCCACAGGTAGGTACACACAAATAAAAATAAAATTTTAAATTTTTTTAAAAGCTACTTTCTCAATATTTCTCAGAATTTATCCTATCAATACAAAACTGCTGTAATCCAGGCCCCAATTATTTCTTACCTAGTCTACTGAACACTCTTCCTGCTACCTGTCAACATAAAGCCAACCTTGCAAATATACCCAGAAGACAAAATGATGTCACCCCTACACACCCCCACCCCAGTGGTTCTCCGTTTACTTCTTGAACAGGTTTTTCTAACCTTTCACTTGATTTTAAAGTTCTGAGCTGCTACAGCTTCCAAGACACACCACACTCTTTGGTGTCTCCTCCTTTTACTCAGGATGTTAAGATGCTTTTCTACAGCTTCTCTGTGAGCTGTTACTTCTGACATCCTCATTTCTCAATGTGCTTCAGCTCTGAGCTCAGGTGTTACCGTCCCCAAACAGCCTTTCCGAAACCTCTCAGGCTCAATAAATGTCTTTTGTCAGCATCCCCAGAGTAGATGTATGTAACTTGCTGCAATTCTTTTAGAGCCTTCTTTTAATTATATCCACTGGCAACTGCAGACAATAAACTGCTTTTTGAATCCTTAAGGGGCTGGAACCTGGCATATCACAGGGCCAACAGCAGTTCACTAAGCTGGATTCAACATGTAGCATTCACTATACTCTAACTCATACTCTCTAAAGAGCGGCAAATGCATGAATCTGTTTCCTCAGTAGATGCTGACGGCCTCCTAGAGGGCTAGGGTAGTATCTAATTCATGTGGTGAACCCAGAATTACAAGTACACTAAATAAATCCTTACTGAATGGAAAGCGACTACAAACTATAATTAGCCATCAGCAGCTAAAGTATTCCTCTTAAAGTAGGAATCAGGATCTGAAATTTGGAATCTGAATGCCAAATCACTCAGGTAACACTGACACAAGATAGTTTTAAAAAATATGAAAATATGATTCCAGCACTAGGGAGGCAGAGGCAGGTGGATCTCTGTGAGTTCAAGGCCAGCCTAGTCTACAAGAGCTAGTTCCAGGACAGGCTCCAAAGCTACAGAGAAACCCTGTCTCAAAAAAACAAAACAAGACAAAACAAAACAGAATTATGAAAATATGTAAACTAGGCCTGGTGGTGCACACCTATTGTAACCCAGCATTTGGGAGTAGACAAGAACAATGTCTAAATTCAAGGCCAGCCCAGTCTAGTAGGGAGACCTTATCTCCAAAAACTAATTCTATAAAAGCTAAATGCCCAATGAGTATCTCCAGTGGGTAAAAGGTGAGCAGCTTCCATGTGGTTAGAGACAAGACTCCCACACATCATCATCTGACCACCACACATCGTGGTGTGCGCGTCCCTGTAACTATTTAAAATATAATTTTAAAAGAATTTTAAAGTTTTCCCTGAGGGATATAGCTCATTTGGTAGCGTATTTAGTTAGCATGCCATCTACCTCTGGATTCAATCTCCAGTACCTTATAAAGAGGACACAATGCTACATTCTGGTAGTCAGAGCACTTGAAAGATAAAGGCAAAAGGATCAGAAATTCAAGGTCACCTTTAACTATATAAGTTTGAAGACAGCCTGAAATATATGACCCCTATCTCAATTAATAAAAAAAAATTCACCCTCTTAAATCAGTAGCTTTCCCCCAGTACTGTACCTGCAAACAGGTACTATATTCATTATACATGTAACTGATTATAGAAATGAGGGTTGGGATATGTGAAGCTCAGTGGTGGAACTCTTGCATAGCATGTACAAGATCCTAGGTTCAAACTCCACTTTCTCCAAAAATATGCGTGTATATATAAATTTGGGTCTGGAAAGATGGCTCAACACTTAAGAGCATGCACCCATCTTGCAGAGGACCTGGGTTCCATTCCTAGCACTTACATGGTGGCTCACACCACCTTTTCTTCAATGCCCTCTCCTGGATTCAGTAAGCCGCCACATGCACGTGATACTCAGGAACTCACACACACATACACATGTAAATAAATAAAAGCCAGACAGTGGTGGCACACACCTTTAATCCCAGCATTGGGGAGGCAAAAGGAGATGAATCTCTGAGTTTAAGGCTAGCCTGGTATGTAGAGAAAGTCCCAGGACAGTCGTGACTAGAGAAACTTTGTCTTGGAGGGAAAAGAAAAGAAAAAACATATTTTTTAAGGAACACAGAAATAGTGGAATATAGAGTCTCGCTCTGTAGCACAAGCTAGCCTCAAACTTGAAGCTATATTATTGCTTCCAGCTTCCAGAGTATAAATGTGAGCGGCCACAGCAACTGTAAGAAATATATTTTCAAATAAATAAAGGGCAAGCCTAGAAATTATCTGGGTTAGTTTCTAAAAAGCTTTAGAGACAAAAATTTTGCTGGCACAAGCTGCACCCTACGATTCTGGAGGGTACGGGGAGAGGAACGCTATCTTGAGGCTGCCTGGGCAGTCTATCAAGACCGCTATGTTTCCTACCCTATCAAAACGCTACTGGTTTCAGACTTTCCCAAATCACAAACTGATGTGGGATGTCCTTTTGTATATATGTTGCTTTTATTGGTTGACGAATAAAGCTGTTTCAGTCAACGGCTCAGCAGAGTAAAGCCAAGTAAGAAATCTGAACAAAGATATATAGAGAAAGTAGGTGGAGTCAAAGAGACACCATGTAGCTGCCAAAGGAAAAAGTTGCTGGAACTTTACCGGTATACCACAGCCTTGTGGTAAAATATAAAATAATAAAAATGGGTTAATTTAAGATGTAAAAGTTAGTTAATAAGAAGCCTGAGCAAATAGACCAAACAGTGTTGTGAATAATACAATTCCTGTGTGATTACTCAGGTCTGGGCAGCCAGGAAATGAACGTTCAGTCTCCATTTATAACAAACAACTATTCTGGTTTACTATCTTGAGTTTCTAAATTGCAAGCTAAACAATTAACTCTCTAATGATGATGGGTAATTTAAGAGAAAATTTATCTCATTATTCAAAAACCCCTAATGAATTTTACCAAGGGGAAAAAAAATCATTTATGTTCAATGAAATGAAAACCTGCCATCCCTGTAAGTCTTTCCCATGAAAAACACAGGTACAGCGGTCACCTCACCTGGGACACTCCAGCTCTGGCTTGATGAGCTTTCTTCTGGTCCCCCCAGTTCCCAGTGGCTAAAGAGTATTTCAGTCCATCAGATATGATCCGTGTTTTAATTGCCAACTCCAAGTTAAAGTCCTTTCCACGATCAATAAACTTCTGTGCATATATTCGTACTTCTTTCAGCAAATTCTTAAACATTCTATAAAATAAGATGGTGTTATTGTAAACATAGAAAAGTCCACAAAACATGTATTTTCAACAGAGACAAAGGTCACAGGGTAAGTTGTTACACTCATTTTAGGTTTATATAGCCTGTATACGCATGTAGTAGAGAGACCAACTAAGATGAAGTGCTTAAAGAAAAAGTCTTTAGTGAGGCAATGATCAAAAAAGGCTAAAATATTCTGATCTAGGCATCTGAGGAAATGAGTCAGTTAATAAAAGTATCTGTGAAATCAAGGACACGAGTTTAAACCCACAGCACCCATGTACATATAAGCAGACCATGGGAGTCACTCTGGGACACTAAGGAAGACCCACCTATAACTGAAGTAATGAATTCTCTCTACTCAAGAAACATCATTCTGTAATTCCTTACCCTCTAAATAAGAATGCAAGTAGAGGTCCAGCAAGATCCAATCTTTTGTTTCCATAGTGATCTCTGTCATCTAGTTCTCTTCTACCCAAAGCTGCTAGAAGTAACCTATGAACCATATACCTAAAAAAGAAAATGAAAACACTTGGATTTTGGATTTTCTTGACATATCTCAAAATACAAGTTATAACATCCTTAGCTTTAAGGAAAACACTTTATCTCAATCGTAACTTGGAAAAGATCTTCAAACACTAAAAAATTTAACTTACCCCAAGAAATAGGCTTTTTTGGTCTCACAGAAATCACTAACACCAACATGAGGCAGCATTTCTTTCTGTAAGACTTCTTTTGCATATTTAATTCTTTTCTCCTTAGTAACACCAGGCTTTGCCCCTCTTGAACCAATGAAGTTTAAGGCCACATTCTGTTCTTGGATGACAAATGCTTCATCGAGAGATGGTTTAACCTACCAAATAGTTTACAGTAAATTTTTCCCAGATTTATAGTTTTACCTTGTGTGACTTTATTAACATGTGAAATAACTCTAAAACCTACTGTTAGGAAATCAAGGAATCACAACATTTCAGACCTGGAAGGTTCCTCCGAGATACAGATGTATCTGTCAAAATCCACCCAGTGTAAGCGATTCACTTTCTCAAAAAAAAAAGAAGTAATTCCACTAATTTAAAAGTAGTATGTTTGCTTTTTTATATTTTAATGATCAATTATTTAAAACCAAAACCAAAAATTAGATATTTCAAATATATTTAGAGAAGCTTCCTGGTTCAATTAAAATTTGCAGAACTACAAAGCACTTTTCAGTGCTTGTAGAAAGAAATATTAAACTTCCTAATGAAGTCACTCACTGTATCGAAAAGGAGACTATTTTAACACTGCACTAGTGAACAGACTATATTCCACTCCTGTCACTACCTATAGCCTCTGAGCAATCAAGCAAATAGTTTCTCCATCTAGGAAAGGGTTAAATAAAATAATTCTTGATAGGGTGTAACTCACGGTCTGAGGGCTTGCCTAGCATGTGAGGACCTAGGGTTAATCTCCAACTCCCCCACACCTGCTCTAGCCCCTGGGGGAAAAAAACAACTTTTTCCTGGAGCTGGAGAGATGGCTCAGCAGTTAAGAGCACTGGCTGCTTTTCCAGAGGACCTGGGTTCAAGTCCCAGCACCCACAGGGCAGCTCACACCTGTCTGTAACTCCAGTTCCAGAGCTTCTGACACCCTCCCACAGACAAAATAGCAGACAGAACACCAGTGCATATAAAATAAAAATAAATGATTAAATTTTACTCCTGAGTTCTATTCCAATTTTACAGTTCTCAATTGCCAACTGTACACAATAGTGAGCATAAGAAAGCTGGGGTAGCACTAAGCCGCTTGGCATTCGTAATTACCCCTCAGTCTGCATCTTATCATACATACAGAAATGTTTTCTCTCACTCATACACAGTTAGTTCTAAACACACAAATTCTAAGTGTGGCACCAAAGATCAGAAAAAAGCTACATAAACTGACTGGTCCAGGCCAGACAAGGTGGACAAGTCTGCAGACCCAGCCCTGAAGAGCAGAGTCAAGAAGACTGGCAGGCTGGTACATATAGTGAGAGATCTAGGCCAACCTGGGCTAAAAACTGAGACCCTGCATCAAAAAACAATAAACAAAAAACAATAAATATCCCACAAGTAAGTATTTTTTTTAAATATTTATTTATTATGTATACAATATTTTGTCTGTGTGTATGCCTGCAGGCCAGAAGAGGGCACCAGACCCCATTACAGATGGTTGTGAGCCACCATGTGGTTGCTGGGAACTGAACTCAGGACCTTTGGAAGAGCAGGCAATGCTCTTAACCTCTGAGCCATCTCTCCAGCCCAAGTAAGTATTTTTTAAAAGAAACCTGGTGCCACTGCTATTACAAAATTATTTGGTTAAGGTTAATGGTATTGGGTTTTAAATGGTATAACAATTAAAATGTACTTTCAGAAGATTAAAACTTATACATTCTCAGTGATTCTAAGATTCATAGGCCTGTTAAAAACAACCTATACTTCCTATAAACTAATAGAACAAACAGTAATTTTCAAAAGCCAATATACTCAAGAGCAAGTCAGTTCTGTTACTTAACTGAGACAGGTTTGGTGGAAGGCATCTCACTTACTGTCCCATCTGCTGGCCCTAATACCGCTATTATTATTATAGTGTGTGTCATGTGTGCTGTGGAGGCTGGGGACTACTCTGCAGAGCTGACGGCCTCCATCCACCTTTATGTGTGTTCTGGGCAGTGAACTGAAGTTGTCAGGCTTGTATAGTAAGAGATTCTTTATCTGCTGAGCCATTTTGCCAACTTGATTTATTTTTCAATTCCTTGATTTTAATAATCATACTGTGTTGGGCATGGTGCTACATGCCTTTAATCCTAGTACTTGGGAGGCAGAGGCGGGGGAACCTCTCAGAGTTCGAGGCCAGCCTGGTCTACAGAGTGAGATCCAGGACAGCCAGGGTTGTTACACAGAGAAACCCTGTCTCATGAAACAAAACAAAACAAAAAAATAACTATACTATGATTACACCAATGACTGTCCTGCTTCCTAGAAATAAACACTGCACTCAACATGCATGACATCTACAATTTATTCCCAAATAATCTGGAAAAGCAAACAAGAGAAAATGTGACAAGCCCAACTGAATCTGAGTAAAGAAGGTTCTAGCACTATTCTTACAATTTCCAAGAACTGTTAGCAGAGACTCAGGCCGGACTGAGATTTCCTATGGTAAAGGCCAGAGGTGTCTGACAGGTGAGTTGCTCCTAAGAGCATGTCTGCTGCTTTAGGGTTGGCAATCATGGGCATCTAAGCTTCTTACACACAGGAACCATGCACTTGCTTCTCCTTACCATTTCCATCATCTCTGGATCTTCAAAGTCATAAATGATATGTTCTAAAATATCTCTATCAGACACAAAGCCCAATGCTCTGAACACGATTATGATGGGAACTTCCTGTTTGATGTATGGCAAAGTTGCCACGATGCGCTGGCCAATAGCACTCTTCTTCGCACCCTAGAAAAGAAAATAAATGATATCAGAATGTGAACACACGAGAGCTCAGAGAAACACAAAATAGCAAATGGCCCATTTAGTATATATATTATATATTTTAAAAGAAGCATGTCTTTCCATTGTCCTAAAGCTTCTTTTAAAAAACATTGAAACAGGTTTATTAATTATTTGTTTTTTGAGACAGGATCTCACTATGGACCCAGCTGGCCTAGAACTCACAATGATCTGCCTGCCTGTGCCTCTGGAGTGCTGAGATTAAGGATGTGCACCAACACACCAGCAGGTTTACTAATTTATGAATGACCTGCACCAACACACCCAGCAGGTTTACTAATTTATGAATGACCTGGTTTCTTAAATCTAAGAGAACTTCCATTCTCCACTATCCATTTGCCAAGTTCTCGAAGAACGACCGGAAATGACCTTTGGCTACCAAAGAATAAAAAGTCTATTATCTTGCCATCCCCGTCTACAGTAGGAGGGGAATAAAAAGTAGATAGCGAGGGATGCTGGAGAAATGCCACAGAGCACTTGCTGTTCCTGCAAAGGCCCCACCCAGGTTCAGGTGCCAGCACCCACATGGCAACTCACAACCAACCATCTTTAACTTCAGTTCTAAGTGATCTACCAATACATTCTTCTGATCTGTGAATACTAGGAATATACATGGTGTGTATGCATACACAACAGGCAAAACACTTACGTACATAAAATAAATAGATAAACCTTAAAAAGAAATAGATTAGGAGGTATTAGCTATTGTATGGATGTCTTTAATCCCAGCACTCCGAGGCAGAGAGGGGTAAAGCCTGTAAGTTCCTGGAACACCAAGACTACAGAAATCCTTTCCCAAAACAGATTAGGCTAAAAAGAAAAAGTATGAAAAGACAAATATGGGAAAAGCAGCACAGAATGAAAAGTAACTCTCCCACTTCAGAACTCCCCCCACTGAAAGCTTACTCCATCCCACACGTTCATCCAGGAACAAGTGCTTAGATATTTCATTCAAGTCTTTGTCCTGAGCTTTAAGCTACACCTTCAGCCTTCATCTCTCCAACTGCTACCTGGGTGTTTCTACTTGGACATCTAACATTCCATTCAATCACTTATTTGTATCATCATCAAGACGGGTCAGACGGTAAAGGCATTTGCCACACTAGCCTGGAGACCCGAGTTCAATAATCAGAATCCACAAAAAAAGAGAGCTGGCTCCACAAAGTTGTCCACTGGCCCACACACGTACTGTGACACACACACCCTGCCACATCATCATGCGCACATACAGGATAAATACCTCCAAATTTGTCTTAGTGACTGAAGAATGACTTACCAGGTGAAAGCGCTGGCTGCTCTACCAGAGGACACAAGTTCAATTCCCAGGACCCACACGGCAGATCTCAACCATATTTACCTCAAGTTCCAGGAGACCCAATGCCCTCTTCTGGCCTCCCTGGACACCAGGTATGCATGCAGTTCACAGACTTCATGTAGGCACACATACACTAACTTAATTTTTTTTTAATCCTTTAGCAGACTGAGGCAATGTCTCAGTCAGTGAAGGATCTGCTGTAGCAAGTGTGAGGGCCTGAGTTCCAGAACCCACATAAAAAGCTGTGCGTGGGTCAAGTGCACTGCTCTTTCAGAGGACCCAGGTTTGAGTTCCAGAACCCACATGGCAGTTCATGAACATCTGTAACTCCGGCCTCAGGTGACCAATACCCTCTTCTGGACTCTTGAGTTCACAGCACACGTGGCACAGACATACATACATGCAGGCAAAACATAAACACAAATTTCCAAAGAATAGGCTGCATGTAGTAGTGGCTTCCACTTGTAATCTCTAGGATGGGAAGGCAGAGACAAAGGGATTCCTGAGAATAACTGGCTAACAAGCTTATTCTATTCAGAGAGATCCAGTTCAATAAGACTGTTTCAAAATCCAAAGTGGAACGCTTCTCAGGAATCACACACACACACATACACACACACACACACACACACACAACACACACACAAATTTTACTTCAGGACAAGCAGAAGATTAAAACACAATCCTTATATCATACACTTACCACACACCCAAAATTGTCTCACCTAAAACAGAACTCATATATGAAAACAGAAGGAAACATTGGTAAAAGAACTGAACTGATTACCCAAATTCTCCATGTGCACATGCACATCCACACATGAAATAAATGTAATTTATTTTGAGGGGCATCGAGAGACAGGGTCTCTCTGTGTAGCTTTGGAGCCTATCCTAGGCCATACCGTACCTGTCCTCCTCTTGCCAGCATGCTAACCCATATGGTACTGGTGGGTCGGGAAGAATTCTCCAGACATGATCGACACTCTCCTGTATAGGCGTATTTGGAATCCTTTTTGGCAAACACATAGACTGTGTTTGTTGCCATTTTCTCTTGAGCTATGAGAACCTATAGACAGAGTAAGAAAGTTACAGTTGAGAATCCCAAAAGGTCACAGCTGAAGTGGCAAGAAGAAAAAGCTGCAGTTATTTAACTGGTCACAAAGGCTCCACCTGATAGAAATATACACGCTCCAACAACCTGGCCAAATTTCCAGTGCCCACCACGCACATAAAGCTTCGGTTACATGGGCTTAGCTGTCGCGGCTTAACTCACCCGACTGTCACTTTCAGGTTATCTGTAGGAATGCGTGCTTTTCCTTCTCTCTTTGTGAAGGGGTGGGTGTGTGTGTGTGTGTGTGTGTGCGTGTGCGTGTGCGTGTGCGCACAGGTACCCATGGAGGCCAGAAGAGGGCATCCGATGCCCTGGAAGAGGACTTATAGGTGATTATGCCACTCCACATGGGGATGCTGGGAACCAATTCTGATCCTCTCTCTGCAAGAGTAGCACGTGCTCTTACCCTGCGAACAGTCTCCACCCCCCCCCCCGAGAATGTACACCTTTTAATTTAACTGTTAACCATCTTTTTTTTTTTAAGAGTTTTGGAGTACCACTATACCTTTTCTGATCCATTAATAATGAAGTAGCCACCAGGATCCAAAGGACACTCGTTCAGCTCACACAGGTCACGGTCTGTCAAGCCATTCAGCAGGCAGTAGGTCGAGCGCAGCATAATTGGGATTTTCCCTATGAAGGTTTTCTGGTGCTGAGTCTGCAGCTGCTCTTCGCCTTCTTTAATGACTGTCTTTGTTATGTCAACATAAAGAGGAGCCGAGTACCTTCAAAATAAAAGGGGGTCAGAGGTGACCGTGAATGAAGGTGCATTTTCTGAACTTTACTCAATATCAGGTGCAAACGAAGAAAAGTATCTCTCACGTGAGATTTCTTAGCCTGGCTTCATTCGGCATCATTGGTGAAGGGGCACCGTCTCTTTCCCAATGAGTAGGTTTGGAGAGATAAATTTGTTCAAATTTCAGTAAATATCTTGGCTGAAATTAAACAAAAAGCATGAAGAGAATAATTTTCCCCATAAAAGTTTTGAAGGTCAGGTTCTTAGTGTATGTCTTAAAGGTCAAAGTGAGAAAATCAGGAGTTTAAAGCCATACTGGGATACATAGCAAGATCCTGTCTCAAAACACACATTCAAAGTTTTACTGACTCCATTTTAACTGACATTAGCATTTTAAGTAGAAGCAACTATACAAACTGACAAAAGTTTTTTTTACTAACATGAGAACACTCTAAAGTTAAAAACCACATTACAGTGATGTGGTTTGTCCTTTTTGTTATGATTTATTTTTATGCTAGTAATGGTGGCACACACACCTTTAATCCTAGCACTCAGAAGGCAGGAGCAGGCAGATCTCTATGAGTCTGAGGCCAGTCTGGTCTACAAAGAAAGGCGTGTGCGCTCTCACTCGCTCTCTCTCTCTCTCTCTCTCTCTCTCTCAACACACACACACACACACACACACACACACACCTGCCTTTAAAAAAAATAAAAATAAAAAATTCTATTTATGTATGTATATACTGTCCCTGAAAGTGCATGGCGCCTGAGTGAGTACCTAAGGACGTCAGAAGAGGGTATGAGACACTCAACAGGAACCAGGTCATTCATCTCTCTGGCCCACAGCTGTTCTCTTATACCTACTGCTTCCTTAAAGAAGACAAAGAAGCCTTTTTCATAGGGAATAGGGGAGTTGAAAAATGGCCTCACTATCTATCTTGACGACATATCCGAGCTGGCTTTCTGCCCTGATCCTCGTGCCTCCTCCCCCACATGCTGGAGAGCTGAGGCAGACATGACCATGTCTGGCTCAGACTTCATCCACCACAAGTAAACGAAGACTGTGTATGGCATCCTCTCTAATTTACTTTGAAGAGAATCCAAAACGGATCTGAGCCCACTGAGGGATTCTACTTATGCTTTACTTCCCTAGAAAAGGAACCCCAGAATTTCCTCCTGTGTCTGCTTCCTCAGGGAACATGATGCCCGCTGAGGGTATCAGTACAATGAAACCAAACTGATGAAACGGGCAAATTATTCTATTATTTTTATAGATCTTAATTAGTGCTACTCAAATCTGGGCTAACAACTCCACATTTATTTTTCCTGCCTGTACAAATACACAATGATTTTTCCAGGTCAGAAATCAATGTAACATTTCATCACAACAGTTACAAACTGGACTATGTAGGACTTTGGCACCTGGAATTTGCCTTTCTTCTCAGCCCTGTTGATGCTCTTGAAAACATCAGCCAGGACACTTACATGTAACATGATGGCAGTGTGCAAGTGCAGAAAGATATTACAAATCACACCGATTTTATTAATGATCTACACACTTTCACATACACTTCCCTTGGTGATGATGGAAAGTATAACAACAAACAAACAAACAAATAAATAAGATAAATTCATTTAGGATGAGGTTTCCCTAACCAGCAGGACATTAGAAGGGAGAAAAAAAGACCCTGACTTTTCAATTAGACCTGGTAAAAACCCAAATCTTGGGGGCTGGAGAGATGGTTCAGAGGTTAAGAGCACTGGCTGCTCTTCCAGAGGTGCTGAGTTCAATTCCCTGCACTGACATGGTGGCTCACAACCATCCACATGAGATCCGGTGCTCTCTTCTGGCATGTAGGCAGAACACTATATAATAAACACTTTTTTAAAAAAAAAAATTCTATAAACGACTTCCAATCTGACTACAGCCTGGGAACCGTGGAGAAGTGCCCCTCCACTCCACATCACCACCATCTCCCCAGACATGAGCTAGGCTTTGGCTACTCCAGGGTTCACCTATCTCCAGACCCTTCCCATTTCAAGGTGACACCATTTCTAGTGACCTTTCTAAATGAGTATGTTACACATTCCTTTGATTCAGAATTCCATCAGCAATTTCTCCAGAGCCTTTGATGATCTGGCTGCATCCTGCCTTCACCTAAGACCTCTCAAAACCAGATACATCAAATTTCATAGATGCTTACTATTTCATAGATGCTTTCAGGCTGCTTACTATGGGTTCCACCCAATTCTCAAGCTAAGTATATCAACAGTCTTATGGAAAACACCTAAGCCGGGGCCGGAGAGATGGCTCAGAGCACTAGCTGTTCTTTCAGAGGTCCTGAGTTCAATTCCCAGCAACCATATGGTGGCTCACAACCCTCTTGTAATGAGATCTGGTACCCTCCTCTGGCCTACAGGCATACATGCAGACAGAATACTATACACATATTAATTTTAAAAAAAATCTTTTTAAGAAAAAGAAAGAAAGAAAACACCTAAGCCATCTTTTCTGAGAAGTTACTGATGCCTTCACTGTCAAGTCAAGTTCCCATATTTCCCACTCAATCAAGCTTTAGAAACGGCTTTTTCTAGCCGGGCGGTGGTGGTGCAAGACTTTAATCCCAGCACTCGAGAGGCAGAGGCAGGCAGATCTGTGTGAGTTCAAGCCTAGCCTGGTCTACTAGCGCTAGCTCCAGAACAGGTTCCAAAGCTACAGAGAAACCCTGTCTTAAAAAAACCACTAGGAAAAAAAAAAAAAAAAAGCTTTTTCCTGCAGTACTTATCATACTGGCACTTAGAACTTATGCAAAGATCATGAAGAGAAGATGACCTGAGGATTTAAAAAGGCACATTATGGTAAATTCTGTGCAGCAGCTCCAACTACAACAGAGTAACAGCCCAGCACCTGGTGGTATACAGTATAGAGAAAAGGAGCTTAACTGGCTAGAAGTAATAACCTTTCTTTCTCTAGCTCCCTTCCAGAGACTGTCCCTACCTCATGCAGTTTTACCATTTCCCTGTCTCTCAGAGCTCAACATGCTCCTGGGGTTGCCTCTCTGCTTCTCTGCAACTGCTGATGGCCAGTCATTCTGCTAGACTTCTTTAAAACCTTATTTAAGGGGCTAGAGAAATGGCTCGGCAGTTAGAGCACTGGCTGCTCTTCCAGAAGACCAGAACTCAATTCTAAGCACCCACATGGCAGCTCACAACTGTCTGTAACTCCAGTTCCAGGGGATCCAACACCCTCACACAGACACACATTCAGGCAAAACACCAATGTACATTTAAAAAAATAGTGTGGGAGATCCTTCTGTCTATGTGTTGCTTTCATTGGTTAATGAATAAAGAAACTGGCTTGGCCTATAGCAATGCAGAACTTAGGCGGGCAAACTAAACTGAATGCTGGGAGAAGGGAGGCAGAGTCAGGAGAAGTCATGGAGCTGCCGCCGGAGACATGATGAAATTTTGCTGGTAGGCCACGACCTCGTGGTGATGCACAGATTAATGGAGATGGGTTAAATTAGAATGTAAGAGTTAGCCAATAAGAAGCTAGAGCTAATGGGCCAAGCAATGATTTAAATAATATAGTTTCTGTGTGGTTACTTCGGGACTGCAGCTGGGAACTAACTAGCGGCCTTCTTACTACAAAAAAATAATGCATTTAAAAAAAAAACACAAACTTATTTTTAAAAAGAAAACTAAAATTGCTGTGATATATATATAATTCAAAACTGCATATGTATAAATAATTATAAATGAAAAAATTAAACCAGCTATATGCCTGAGTAATTTTTATTTTTGATCTCATATTGTAATCATGTATTCCACACAATAAATAAAAATCAAGTGTCTGAGCATGGTAGCACATCTGTTATTCCACCACTCAAGAAGAAATCTCAGTCTAGATGATCATGAGTTCAAGGTCAACCCTGGTGATAAAGAGACACTTTGTCCTAAACACAAAAACCAATGAGAAGCAAGGTTTTCTTTTACAATATTAGACTGCAGATCAGAAGAGCAGATGTGGGTCATCTAAACAACATAACTATTTCCAGCTCACTGCTTTCAGGTGTTCATACTGAGTGCCCTCTTCCCAGCTACTAAAGATTCACTAAGGATGTGCAGGTGACTGCCTGTAAATCCCAGCTACTAGGAAGACTTAGGCAGGAGGATATAGAGTTCAAAGCCAGTCTGGCAACAGAACCCACTCAAGGTTAGCCTGGGCAACTTACCAAGACCTTGCTAAGAAATAACAACTAAAAAGAAAGGAAATAAAGCTCAAGGTAGAGTCTTTACCTAGTTGCACAAGGCCTGACACAGTCTGTCCTAATACCAAAAGATACATGCTATCTGAAGGGAGATTAAGGCTTTAGATCCAGAGCTGAGGGGAGGTGCTGGACACACACTGCAAATGCTACTGAGTGGGAGGACTGGTATTGGACTGGCTGATACTGGACTGAGACCCAGGTCAATACTTTTCTTCACCCGCAGCATAAACACAACCTTCTTACCGGCTCTTCAACTTCTCCACTGGCGTGCTGAGCTTCAGCCTGTAGGTCAATCGGTGGCGCATCTTCCACAATTCTTTGAACGGACATCTGAATAAACTCATCAAAGGAATCCAGCTGTTGTCTAACCAAGCCTTTTTCATCAAAATAAGAACTAGAAAAATATTAAGTTCATAATCAGTTGCATCTCAATTTGTTTTCTAGCATATTTCTCTATCTTCATTTAATCCACATATTTTCCTAACTTCATTTAATCTAATTCAACAAATACTCAATGAAATGCCAACCAATCTATGATACTCATTGCATAAGGCCGGGGTATTTTATTTGTAGACTTACTATGTTTTGTACGGAAAAAAGACAAAATAAGTAAAGTACAACATAAGAACTGTAAGGCAGCTTCAATCTGCGAACAACTTCAAACTCTACAGAATTTCCCACAGCCATGTTACACACAGTGTGACTGTCAGTGTGGTGATCACACTGGTAAGTGTGTAGCTTCCTAACATGACATGGTCTTACCGTATCATCTAATTGCTTTTGCATGAACGTTTTTACTATGGCTACTTGAGCAAAATTACACTTAGAAATGGGTAAGAATTTGGATTAAAATACAATCTTAATGTGTAATTTTACTCATTTACAGTAATTTAAAAACACGGAATTAGATTAACATCACAAATACAGTAAACGTACATAATATAGTGCGCCTGCCAAAGAACCCACCCAGCACAATTACAAGGAAAGTCAGACAAACCACATCCCACAAGTACTACACAAAGTAACAGACCTGAGCTCTTCTTTTAAAAGACATGCTGAGAAACTGTTTCAGATTGAAGGAGACGGATAAATAAGCCTTGAAACAAAATGTTTGGGGCAGAACAGATGGTCCAGCAGTTAAGAGTCCATATTTCTGGTGCAAGAAACACAGCTCCCTGGTAAAGAATAGGCAGCTCTTCCATAGGAGCCAAGTTCAACACCCCCATGGTGGTTCACAACCATCTCTTACTCCAGTTCCAGGGAATCTCATGCCCTCTTATGGCCTCCATGAGCAGCTGCATACATGGTGCACATAAACTCACACAGGCATATAAACACAAAAAAATAAAACTAAAAATCTAAAACCAAACTAGGTGTGATGGTACACGGCTTTAATCCCAGCACTCAGAAGGCAAATGCAAGTGAACCTCTGTGAATTCAAGGCCAGCCTGGTCTACAGAGTGAGTTCCAGAACAGTGAGAGCTACATAGAGAAACCCTGTCTTGAAAAAACCAAAAATTAAAAAAAAAAGAACTAAAAACAAACAACAACAAAATGTGCAACACTCAGAACTGAGGTAGCAAGTTCCAGGTCAGGGTGGCCTATACAATGAGACCCTGTCTCAAAAACATAATAATCCTAGATCCAGCATGAAAGAAAAAAAAATGGTTTGCTAAAAAAATAAGTGAGATAACAAGCAAAATGTGGAGAGACTCTGTAGGTTAAATAAGATTATTGGGTGCTGGAGAGATGGCTCAGTGGTTAAGAGCACTGGCTGCTGCTCTTCCAGAGGGTCTAAGGTCATTTCCCAGCAACCATAACGTAGCTCACAACCATCTATAGTGGGATCTGATGCCCTCTCCTGGCATAAAGGCATACATGCAGATAAAGTACTCTTACATAAAATAAATCAACTAAAAATAATAGTAACATTATTGTATCAATATTAATTTCTGTACTGTGATTATGTAAAAGAGTATCTGCTACTTACTTTCCAATGTTTTTAGGGGGAAATGCACAGAGAGAAATAAAAAGAAAATGTAGGCCAGGTGTGGTGGGCCACATCTTTAATTCCAATACTCAGGAAGCAGAGACAGGTGGGTCTCTGTGAGTTTAAGGCCAGCCTGGTCTACAAAGCAAATTCCAGAACAGTCAGGGCTGTTACACAGAGAAACCTTGTCTCAAAAAAAAAAAAAAACACAAGGGGGCTGGAGAGATGGCTCAGAGGTTAAGAGCATTGCCTGCTCTTCCAAAGGTCCTGAGTTCAATTCCCAGCAACCATATGGTGGCTCACAACCATCTGTAATGGGGTCTGGTGCCCTCTTCTGGCCTGCGGGCATACACACAGAAAGAATATTGTATACATAATAAATAAATAAATATTTAAAAAAAAAGAATGAAAGGAAGGAAGGAAAGAAGGGAAGGGAAAAGGCAGTATAAGGTATTTAAAGGCTCCAATGAAGAACATAAATAAATTTTTTAGCTTTTCTCTTGGATGGATGGATGGATGAATGGACGGACGGATGGATACAGTCAGGTATAGTGACATACACTCGTAGCACTCAGGAGGAGAGCTGCAAATTCAAAGTCAGCCCTGTCTACAGCATCCAGAGTTGCATACAGTACTGTCTGCATAAAACAAAGCAACCCCTGCAGTAACTAACACATGTTAAGTACATAAGCACAGAAAAGGCCGAGATCTACCTATAAGGAACAAAGTTACAGGACATCCCTCACATCTTACAGTATCTAGCTGTTCAGTTTGGTCTAAAGTTACCTGATCACAATCCAGCATGCTTCTTGCCACAAATCTGGAGTGATTTCATCATCATCCTCATCATATTGCATATCTGCAAAAACAAAACACTATGCTCATTGGCAATAAGATGCCACTGGTTCACCGTCCCCGCAAGAAGTAAACTGGTACTCTGCTAAATAAAAGGCAATCACTTCACCCCACTTGCCTAGAGTTTCAGACAATTAATGACATAGGCCTATGTCACAGTAATATTCTTCCTATACACAGTTTTTACAACAAAGATTCAGCTACGTTGTGTGAATTTGTAACATTTTTAGGGCTGGTGAAATGTTCCAAAGGGTATAGAGGATTGCCACCACACCTGAGGACCTGAGTTCAAACCCTACGATATGCTTCACAGGTCCGTCCACCCACATACATACAAAATAAACAAATGTATAAAGAGGTCTAAAGCTTCTACATTTCCTCCAAGTACGAGTAATTTAAAAGAGAATATAATGATTCTGATAGATTTCCATGAGATATGAATAAAATTGAGACATTTAAGAAATTTTAAAAGTTGAAGTCTTAGTTGTCTATTGTCTCCACAAGAAAAGAAAATATGTGCAGAATGGCCAAAGTTGGGAGCTGGAATAAAATGATGTCTAAACATAGAGAAGTAAAGAGGTCAGTGGTGGCTCACGCCTTTAATCCCAGCACTCAGGAAGCAGAGGTAGGAGGATCTCTGGCTGAGTTCCAGGCCAGCCGGGTATAGGATACACGAAGAACACCTGTGTCGAAAAATGAACCACACACAATAATAAAATAAAATGGGTGGGATTAAGAAGTGTGCACATGAAAAGTTAAAAGACATGTTGTCCTTGTGAAACGGAATACGTACCATCCAAGAACTGTGTCATCTCATGATAAGAGACTAATTGAAGACCATCTTTTTAGACATTTACTTAAACTGAAGAGAGTGTGAAGGAATGTCAACCCAGATACCCATTCTTTGTCCCTAATATTTCCAGGGTATAACAAGAGGACGTGGTCAAAAAAAAAAAATTGAGCTACCTCGGACTAGGAATATTGTGCAGAAGGAAAGTACGTGCAGGCCCTGGGTTCAAGCCTCTGGACCCTGAATTGCGGGAAGAAAAAAAAAAAGAGCAAAAGTGCCTAGCTATTCAATAAGTCGACTGGGATGAAAAGGAAATCATCAACGTCAAAACACCCGATGTTCACAAACACTTGCACACTATAACTATGTTGATTCTGGAAGGTGATAGCAGATTGAACCGAAGGCAGCAAGCAAGCGGACCCGGAACGCGACCCGGCTCCCTGAGCCCACACCGCTAGCGAGACCAGCGCCTAAGAACAGGGCTGCGGGGCGCGCGCCACGGCTGGATGGGGTAGCAGGCGCAGACCCTGCATCCCCGCAGGTCCCCCGCCGTCCCGACTACGCCGTCACCTACCCTCGTCGGCGTCGTACATCTTGGCCGAAGGTTTCTGGACCTCTTAACTCGAATCACAAAGCGGGAGACGAAATCTACACTGGCAAACTCGAGTCGGAAAAAGCAATTTCCGTCTCCGGCGATCCCAGCATCCTCCGCGCCTAAGGGGCGGGGGCAGCTCCGTGAGCTGTGCGCCTGCGCGATTGGCGGGGGTTTGAACTGCGCGAGTGCAAATTCTGGGTCGCTGGCTGCGGCGCAAGACCGCTCCTTCGGCCAGAAGTTGGATCCAGTCAGTGAAAGATTCTTATGGCGTGACTTTTCAGTTTTGTTGTACAAATGACACCTGATTTGGGCAAAGGAGATTTATGAGAGCCAGGCTCTGGGTGTGGGCCGAGCCCGGACGAGCCTCTCCTGCCCACCCGGCTCTATCTAGTCCGCGCCGTCCCAGGATGAATTCTCGAGTCTCGGAGCTTTCATCGCGAGAAATGCAGGATTAGTCACGCCGTTGGACAGTTCCCTCGCCGCTCGTCCCCGACCGACGAGCTCCTCGGGCGCCCGTCCGGGTGCGCGCACGAGGCCCCGCCCC